TGTGTATATATGTGTGTGTATATATGTGTGTATATATATGTGTGTATATATATATATATATATATATATATATATATGTGTGTATATATATATGTGTGTGTGTATATATATATATATGTGTGTATATATATGTGTGTATATATATATATGTGTGTGTGTATATATATATATATATATATATATATATATATATATATATGTGTGTGTATATGTACATGTGCATACACCCACAGCCCCCTGGGAAACTGTGTCTAGGATAGTGAAGAGGGGCCAAGGAGACTTCAGCCCCCCCATCTCCCTCTGGCTGTCAGAGTGTTGTTTACACAACACGAATGATGGTTTTGCAAAAGGAGAGGACCTGTCAGAAGTTGAAATTGAAGTCTCCTTGGCCCCCTGTTCAGTATCCTAGACAGCAAGGTCCACTGTGCCACCAGACCACCAGGGAATGCAATGTCCCCCCTCGCGCAGGTAAAAAGAAGGAAGGGGGGAATAAACATAAAAACATCTCTCTCTCTCTCTCTATAATACACAGATCCTATCCTTCCTACCTTATAATGATAAACACACGCACATACCTTGCTTCCACTATACACACACTTGTAATCCACTACACATAAATGGCATCCTCTACACACACGACATCCACTACCTTTACATTTTCTGCATCAACTATACACACACGCTGCATCCCTTATACACCATGCACTGATGGCAACCCTATTCGTATATGATCTGGGTGCACTTAGTTTAAAAGTAAATCTGTGGTTTATTAACCCCGTAAGGACACATGACATGTGTGACATGTCATGATTCCCTTTTATTCCAGAAGTTTGGTCCTTAAGGGGTTAAACGTAATATATTGGTCTTGAATAGGTTTGAAAGAAAGGCTCATAAAATAGCAGTAATACAAGAAATCAAATGGAGCACATTATATAAGGATTACTAAGAAGTATAAAGAACTAATGAAGATTTAAGGCAGTTTCAGTATTGACCGTAAACTAATTATTTCAGCAAGGATCCACAATAAATAGTAAAGTCTGTCTGAAAACGTACACGCATGGTAACAGTCAGTACGTGAATAGTCATAGTGGAAAATGTACTACCAAGCAAGAAGCTCCTGATAAAGATATGCTGATGGTGGCTCCTAATATCTGGTTAGTTCTGCAGAATGAGTTTCCTGTGGCAGAAAACTGAGTGAGTATTATCCAACAAACCCTGTGCTTCTGAATGTGACTGTATGTATCTGAAGTGAATTTGCAATGTTTGACGAGTTTCATGGACCTGCTAAACAAACAAATACAACACAAAGCTATTGGGGGCGTAGCTTGACCATCTTGGTTTATGGACTTGTATGCATTTCAGCTCTGGACACTCGCCACACAGTACATTTCACATCAGGGTCCTACACGTGGGATCATGCAAATTGGTCAAACTTACCTGCTGTTTATGTTAGGCTTAAAGTTTGTGTGTTTTAGGTTTGATACCAGACCTGTGTCCTGTAGTAGGTATAGTAGGTATAACTCAAGCATCTATTTACCTCTATTTATAAAGGTCTTGTGGGTAGGACGTTTAGATAGACCATTCCATCATCTTTTTTGCCTAAGCCCTCTGATACCGTGACCCTTTCGTGCACCCACCCCTGGAAAGTCCTAATCTCTTCTAAATTGTGATTCCTGGACCTCCCTTTCACACCAAGTGTTTAGTAAGGATTTCAAGCTTTCCAAGAAATCCTATGTTTGTGGTGTAGAGGGTGACTCACAGCCGTTCCTGACTGCAGGGATGAGTTCCTTCCGTCAACTCCCAGAGAGTCCGAAACATCCAGTGGCAATCCTTGTCCCTCTTGCTGGCGCCCTCCCAGCACCGCAGACAATGAGTTATGAGCACTGAAAGAAGAAGCACATCTGGGTAAACCGTCCACAGATATCCCTCCATTTCCTATCCTTGATTGCTCGTGATCCCCACCTTCGTGATTGTCCAGACGAAAACTGCCACAAGGAGTACATCTCCTATTGATGGCGCTCCTGCTAGCTGACCTGGAGGCACCGTGGCAGCACTGGCTACACCTGGCAGAAGAGACTGACCGTCTCTTGCCACTACGCCGTTCCCCGGTGCGCCCTCCTCTGCTGTGCTGTCCTACAAGGGACTGCCTGCCCTTGTGCTGTTCTTTCTCGCCTTCTGACATCTCATCAGATGAGCATACCAGCTGGCCGCCCTGCTTAAGCGCTGGTGAACATGCTCCTGCCCACTGAGAGTGACTATCACCCTGCGATCTGCCTGGCCAGCCTGGCGCTGTGCATTTTTCCAAGCCCTTGGAAGGGCCTTAAAAGCATTGACCAGGACCTCACTGCTACCATTGGGATTGATGGGAGTCTGTGCTGCACTTGCATAACCCCCTCACCTTCCCAACCCGCTCTCCTACACCTGGGCCAGCATTCTTGGGGGGGCCCCCACCCAGATTAAAATGGCCACTACCTAAAAAGGCAGATTAAAATTGCCACTACCTAAAATGGATAGACACTGTTGCACATAGAAGGCTTATCAATAAACTGCAATCTTTAAATTTGGATTCCAATATTGTTGAATGGGTAAGGCAGTGGCTGAGTGACAGGCAACAGAGGTTTGTAGTTAATGGAATATATTCGAAGCATGGTCTTGTCACCAGTGGGGTACCTCAGGGATCTGTACTTGGACCCATTCTCTTTAATATTTTTATTAGTGATATTGCAGAAGGTTTTGATGGTAAGGTATGTCTTTTTGCTGATGATACTAAGATATGTAACAGGGTTGATGTTCCAGGAGGGATAAGCCAAATGACAAATGATTTAGGTAAACTAGAAAAATGGTCAGAATTGTGGCAACTGACATTTAATGTGGATAAGTGCAAGATAATGCATCTTGGACGTAAAAACCCAAGGGCAGAGTACAGAATATTTGATAGAGTCCTAACCTCAACATCTGAAGAAAGGGATTTAGAGGTGATTATTTCTGATGACTTAAACGTAGGCAGACAATGTAATAAAGCAGCAGGAAATGCTAGCAGAATGCTTGGTTGTATAGGGAGAGGTATAAGCAGTAGAAAGAGGGAAGTGCTCATGCCATTGTACAGAACACTGGTGAGACCTCACTTGGAGTATTGGACACAGTACTGGAGACCGTATCTTCATAAGGATATTGATACCTTAGAGAGGGTTCAGAGAAGGGCTACTAAACTGGTTCATGGATTGCGGGATAAAACTTACCAGGAAAGGTTAAAGGATCTTAACATGTATAGCTTAAAGGAAAGACGAGACAGGGGGGATATGATAGAAACATTTAAATATATAAAGGGAATCAACACAGTAAAGGAGGAGACTATATTTAAAAGAAGAAAAACTACCACAACAAGAGAACATAGTCTTAAATTAGAGGGACAAAGGTTTAAAAATAATATCAGGAAGTATTACTTTACTGAGAGGGTAGTGGATGCATGGAATAGCCTTCCAGCTGAAGTGGTAGAGGTTAACACAGTAAAGGAGTTTAAGCATGCGTGGGATAGGCATAAGGCTATCCTAACTATAAGATAAGACACAACTGAGTGGAGCAGCTGCATTTTGGGAAGAGTTGCTTGAGGATATAGTTGGACCCACTGAGAGTGCTAGCAGCAGAAAGGAGAGTACTGCCTCAGAAATGTACAGATTGTACCTATCTGAACCTCCTTTGCCCCCTAATGTCGACCCTCTTAGCTACTGGGATGAGAAGAAGAGTGTGTGGCCTACACTCTCATTGGTTGCGCAGTAGCTTCTATCATGTCCGCCAATAACTGTCCCAAGTGAGCGTGTGTTTTTGGTAACTGGTAAGATACTGAACCCACAGCGCTCATAAATGTCACCTCATCTCACGGAGTAGATTGCTTTTCTTAAGTTCAATCTTTAACATATTCATCCTCACCTTGCGGTTTCTGCGCTCAGCGGCCATGCATCAGTGTACCTGACTCCTGTAGCATGTTGATGGACGCCAGCCATTGCGGAGCCACACAAAATTATAGCCCCACGTCCGCCCACGGTGATGACGATGTTGGCGTGCGTATGACGTCATGCGGGAGACGGGCGAGCACGTTCTGGAGTCAAAGGCCGATTTTGGCCAATCAGAAGTGTAAAAGGCTTATTTAAATGCATTTTTACTCATTCCCCTGTCGTGGTTTCCCTAGTGGTTGTCTGAGAGTGCGTTTCTGAGTGTTTATTTCTGGTTATTGACTTTGGCTTTGTTTGACTTCCCTGTATTCTGGTATCCCTGACTTTTGGCTTTCCCTCATCGTTGTGTCTCATTCTGTGTCCCTGACCTCGGCAAGTATTCTGACTATTCTCTGGCATGTTAAGTCCGGCCATTCTAAGGCCCGGTAAGACGTTACCTGTTAGTCCTAGGTGTGATACAGTTCTACGTGCTGGATCAAATGGTAATCCTGACACAATCTGCCCAATTTGGGGTACCCTGTTCTTTAATTTGACTGTAATTGAGCTTGGGGTTTCTCAGCTTTCTAATTATTCTTTCAGGTGATATACTGGATATCATGTAGTAGTGTTAGAGAAAATAACGAGAAACCGTTATTTTTGTATTTTTTTTTAATTCTTTATTTTGACAAAGATAACATGTACAACTCGAGAGCATTGCACAGTTTGTAAGAGATTAACACATGTAAAACAGGGTACCTCCTGTCATCCAAAACATAAGCCACCACTATATGGTGGAATAAAACTTCGCAGCTTTACCCCCTGCCACGTACATTTTATTTATAACAAAACTCGCGAATATGATACGTTGTATACTGTCATGTTTATACCTGTGGTATCCAGGTAGACAGAGTTAGAGAAAGAGAAGAGGGAAAGGATTAAAGAGGGGGGGGCATCTTCCAAAGAGGTGCCTGATCGGCGGGGCCTAAAAAAAAAAGGGGCAAACCTGCCAGGTGGTTCAGCTCAAGGGACTGTCTTCCCAAGGAGACCATATTTTTTGGAACCGTTTTTGGGTGCCTCTGACTCTTGCTGTCAGATCGTCCATCAAGTGGACTTCCTTAATTCTATTGACGACTGCTGCCATCTGTGGGGTGGTTTGTTTTAGCCAGTCCGCTGCCACTGCTCTCCTAGCTGCTAGAGTTATGTTGTGTATAAGTTTTTGCTCGTTTCTAGACCACCCATCTATCTTTCTGCTGAGCAGATATACCCACGGGTCTAGGGGGGGAGCTCTGCTCAGGACCTGGGTTAGTAGGTCCTTAATTTGGTGCCAGAAGCTTGCTATCAGTGGGCATTCCCACCACATGTGGATATACGTCCCTTTAATTCCGCACCCTCTCCAACATACATCCGTAGTGCTCTTCTTCATTTGATACAGTTTTACAGGCGTCGTGTACCAACGGAGCATCGTCTTAATCGCCTGCTCCTGGAACGCTACGCAAACAGAGGACTTGTGGTTGGCTTCCCAAATCTCCTGCCATTCTATCCCTTCTAGTTGTTCCCCTAGGTCTCTCTCCCAATGGTCCATGTACGCCAGCCCACCCTCGTCGTTAGGCACTGAGTAGAGGTGGGCGTACAGCCGAGTTATCAGGCCCTTAGGCATATGGTCCTGAATGCAAATTTGTTCGAAAAAAGTCAAGGGCTTTTGGGCCGCCGCACGGACCCATATCAGTTTAGCAAAATCTTTTATTTGTAGGGAGAAACCGTTATTTTAATTTCTCTCTACACCCTGTTCCAAATTATTATGCAAATTCTATTTAAGTGTCACAAAGATTAAATATTTTGTATTTCAGTTTAACTCTTGGATGGCATTGTGTCTCAGGGCTCTTTGGATCACTGAAAACAATCTCGGACACCTGTGATAATTAGATTGCCAGGTGAGCCCAGTTTAAGGAAAAACTACTAAAAGAGGGTGTTCCACATTATTAAGCAGAGCACCATTTTCATGCAATATGGGGAAGAAAAAGGATCTCTCTGCTGAAAAGAGTGAAATAGTTTAATGCCTTGGACGAGGTATGAAAACATTATATATTTCACAAAAACGTAAGCGTGATCATCGCACTATTAAGAGATTTGTGGCTGATTCATAGTACAGACGGGCTCATGCAGATAAAGGCACATTGAAGAAGATTTCTGCCAGATCCATGCATCGGATCAAGAGAACAGCTGCTAAAATACCATGGCAACAAACAGATATTTGAAGCTGCTGGTGCCTCTGGAGTCCCACGGACATCAAGGTGTAGAGTCCTCCAGAGTCTTGCAACTGTACATAAACCTCCTATTCGGCCACCACAAACCAATGCTCACAAGCAGAAATGGCTGCATTGGGCAGAAAAATACATGAAGACTAATTTTCAAACAGTCCTGTTCACTGATGAGTGCCATGCAACCCTGGATGGTCCAGATGGATGGAGTAGTGGATGGTTGGTGGATGGCCACCCTGTTCCAACAAGGCTGCGATGTCAGCAAGGCAGTGGTGAAGTCATGTTTTGGGCCGGAATCATGGAAAGAGAACTGGTCGACCCTTTAGGGTCTCCAAAGGTGTAAAGATGACCTCTGCAAAGTATGTGGAGTTTCTGACTTCACTTTCTTCCCTGGTGCTTTCCGTAATAAAATCATCTTCATTTATGACAATGCACCATCTCATGCTGCAAAGAATACCTCTGCATCAATAGCTGCTATGGGGATAAAAGGAGAGAAAGTCATGGTGTAGCCTCCATCCTCCCCTGACCTCAATCCTATTGAGAACCTTTGGAGCATCCTCAAGCAAAAGATCTATGAGGGTGGGAGGCAGTTCAAATCCAAACAGCAGCTCTGGGAGGCTATTCTGAAATCTTGCAAACAAATTCAAGCAGAAACTGTCCAAAAACTCACAAGTTCAATGGATGCAAGACTTGTGAAGCTGCTATCAAATAAGGGGTCCTATGGTAAAATGTAACGTGACCTGTTAAAATGTTTAAAAAGTTAAAATGTTCTTATAAGTTTGATTGAAATAGCTTTTGATTTCAGTAAATATGCTGCAAACACAGGTTTTTTACAACCTATGAAGTGTTTTGAAACTTACTGTGCGTAATAATTTGGAACAGTGCATTGTAAGTTTTTTATATTTAAAAAAAATACTGTTATCATTAGGAGGTTTGTTCAATAAAATTTGAATTGTACTCTTAATAGTTGATAACATGATAATTATGCTGACTGTTATTTATATCCATTATTTAGGTAAATGAGAAAAATATAATTTGCATAATAATTTGGAACAGTGTGTATATGTATTTTCCACCCACCCCCCCCCAAAAAAAAAATTACAAAGAATATTCCCTTCCCTTTCTCCCCTAATGACCAAAATCTCCCTTAAAGTGGTACTGGTTTCTCCCTTCTGGCTGTGTCTGACAGCGGTGTGGCAACGCCTGCTACCTCTGCCAGCGCAGTCAGCTAATGCTAGGGCATTGTGTTTCATCTCTGGAGGTCCCCTCCCCACACGAAGGACTGAAGGAGTTTGGATGCTCTGCCCTGGGGATGAAACAGGTGAGTGGGTCACCAATGGTCCACTCACTCCTCTTTATCATTTTATTTATTTCTATTTTGCTATTGGTGGTGGCAAAACTTTTTTGCACACAGCTTCCTGTCAGGCCAAGTAGAGGGTACAGAAGATCATACACCCACGGTCCACTCAGCCACAGTACATAAAGTGAACAGAAGGAGAGGAGTGATGTGCTTCTCCCTCCCCCCACCCCTGCTGGTAACCCAGACATTGAGCCCCCTGGCCAGTGCGCCCTAGGCAGACGCCTGCCTGTTACATAAACTTGTATGCCTGCAAAGAAAATGTGTACAGTTAGATGACATAAAGCATTTTTACTTACGCTCAGTAGTGGATCCCTGTTCCTGGACACCAGTGGCCGGTTGTTGGAGGGAAACCTCAGTCGGACGTGGTGAAGAACATTCGATAATTTACGGATGGTCTGAAATACATGTATGTGAAAAATTAACTTCATATACAGTACAATCATATATGTGTGTGTGTCTGTTTCCATGCACACACACACACACACACACACTAATACATATACATACACACACACACATATACATATATACATACATACACATATACATATATCTAACAATGCTATGCAAATACTTATGAGAGGAAAGTGAAGCCAGGTGCATCTCCTGGGAGACAGGAGGTGAACCTGCTGCCCTACATTCTGTGGAGACAGCATCTCCTGCAGTTCCTGATGCCTCTTCCTGGGATTGAGGGGCTTGCACTGATGGTATAGAAAACACAAATTGGAGGGTTAACACATGAAAACTGATATATGTACATTTTTACTAAAGAATATGAATTTAACAGCATACCTTCAGATGTTTCAGCGCCAGTTGTCCCCTCAATCCCAACAATGATGTCTCTTCCCAGGAACT